TGTGATGATGCTCAGAGAATGAACGTAAATTAATTAATTAATTTTTATTTTTTGGAGAGGTTTTTGCTATAGCAAATGTGCACTCACCAAAAAGAGAGAGACAGAGACAAAAAGCGAGAAATCACCCTCCAGGGAAGATGGCCATGCCACACTCCCTTCTCCTCCATTCTCCTCTCAGAATCTTGGGCATGCATGCACATGTGCCTGGTGTGAGTTTAAGCCACCGGGTCCAGGACTTCAACCATGGTCTACTACATGGGAGTTGAGTGACATAGCCATTATGCCAAATACTGGTCCCTAGTTAATTAATTAAAAAATGTTTTAAAAGAATAAAGGATATTTTAAAAGAATTATTTTATCCTGGAACATCACTAAATTTTTGTTCATGAGTTACAACAGTATTTTGGTGGAGTCTTTAGGGTTTTCTATCCATAAGATCATCTCATCAGGAAACAGATAACTTCACTCTATTCTTTTCTATTTAGGTGTCTCTTGTTTATTTGTCTTAACAAATTGTTCTGGCTAGGATTTTCAATATTTTGTAGAACAGCAGTGGTGAGTGTGGGCATCTTTGTCACTTTTCAGATCATAGAAGAAAAGCTTCCAGCTTTGCACTGTTGAACATAATGCTAGGGCTGGGCCTGTCAATTATGATTTGTTGTGTTTAGGTATATTTCATGCTGTGATCCCTTCATCTCCTTTCTAATCTCAGGATTTTTAGTCACATGTGCACCCAGTATGGCATATTTTTCAAGCCTCCAAGTATGGGACTCAAACCATGGAGCCAGCCATGTGAGAGCCAATGACTTCACTACACCACCTGCTGGCCCCACACAAAGATTATTTTTAAAGAATTACTTATTTAATTATGTTTATTATTATCATTACTTTAATTTGTATAGGACACAAACACTCACCAGAGAAACACACAGAGAGAAAAGGAAAGTGAGAAAGTAAGCTGCCAGGTCTGAGACTCGAACTGGATTCAACAATGTGGGAATCTGGTGCCTTAACTGCCATGGCACCTGCTGGACCTGATATTTTTCACTTAACCTTTAAATTACTTGTTGATGCTATACTTATACAAGAGCATATTGCTTAATTTCGACATATTTGTTAATTTTCCATAATTTCTCTTGCCATTATAAGGGAAGCTCAAGTGCAATAATGTTTTAAGACGATAAATGATAGTCTATCTTGTTTCTAATAATAAACTTTTTTTATTAGAAGTTGGAGCACACACACAAAAAAAAAGTTGGAGTACTCAGTGTGAGGCATAAGCCCTTTGGGGTATAAACGGGAGAATGAGTGTTTACATCCTTTTCTCTGCACCACTTCTGGGGGTGAAGGCACTGGAAGTGCTTGTGTCTCTATGATGCTGTCCCCTTTTTCTGCAGTCTAGATAAAGTCACATATATTTAACCTCCTCTACTCCCAGAGCTAGGAGGTTTAAGATGTACTTCCTCAGGCAGAAGCTATAAAAGTTGGAGTGTTCAATGTGTGGACAAACTCCTTTCAGGAGGAGTTAATAGCCCTAGAGTGCTCGCTGGAGCAAGTTGGGCTCCAGAAGTGCCAGGCTGCTTCTCAGGCTGGTGGCAGGTCAGTATTTGCTCTTCAAACTCCCTAATGCAAGTTAGAAGCCAGATTGCACAAAGAGGTGTGGTAGTATCTGTTGGAGATATTTCATAGTTTTATCAACAGTACTAGGGAGAAATGTTCACCTGTTGAAATATCCAATTTGTAAGACAAACAGCAATGTGATTGAATGTATGGAAGAAAATGAAATGAAAATAAATAAATAAATAAAAATGTATAATAACAATAAAAAAAGAAACTAATGCAGATGGATCCAGAGTATGTAGTACCAAAAAAAAAAAAAAAAAAAAAAGGAAGCCAGATTGCCAAGTAATCAATAAAAAAAAAAGAGAGTTTCATAACTCCTCTGTGGAAAAGACAGGGTGCTATTTTCTTTCTTTTTTTTTTTTTGTAATTGAGATTTACTCATTGTGTCAAGGATCAGTACAGACATTTCAATTTGTACCCAATTCTTAACATACATACCAAAAGTTTAAAAAGCCAAGTATAGTGATTCTTTTTAAGTTATTTCAATGACAGTCCAGCTTCAAATTTGTAGGCAAATTTTCCTTAAGAGAATATCAAGAACCACTGTCTTCAAATATTGAAAGCTGTTATATAAGTCCCACCAAATCACAAGTTAGTATCATACACACTGCATACTTCAAATTTCCAATCTTTCACAGCACATTAACAGAATTATTAGGAAAACTGGACTACCATGACCAAAGATGTTACAGAGTGCACACAATTCTGACAGGGAGAGCAACAACCCAAGAGTGGTTTTCTTTATGAAACAATACTACTAAAAAACATAATGGAAGTAATTTAAAATATTTGAGATACATTAAATGCATGACTGTGACTCCAAACTGCCATTTAGTATGCTTTGTATTTAGGATATAAAAACTACCCACCCACCCCCACCTATGGAATGTTAAGATGACAGGCAAGAGAGTCAAAGCCTCCTATAAGTCAATATCCCACTATTTTCTGATTGTGCTAAAAATAAACAAGCAGTAAATGATTTCACCTCATAAAAAAAGCATTTACACTTAAAAAAATGGGACGAAGTGGGATTCTCTCTTTCTTAAAAATGTTTCTGGAGCTACTAAAAAACTTGCATTTACAGAATAGTTGATAAAAATATTCCTCTGGATTGTACAAGAAGGGAGACAGGGACCACTGATAAGACATAGTATATGATATTACTCAGACTTGACTTCTTTCTTGCCTGCTTCATCAGAGGGTGGGCTCTCCTCATTTTTAGTTTCTCCACTTTCTGCAGGTAAATCTTTAGTGTTCCAGTTGGCCACTTCAGCCTATTTCCCCTTTGCTCCCCTTTTCCCTTTTGTTTGCACTCTTTTGACTGAAGATTTATCCTTCCCTGCCACCTTTTTTGACCTTGTCTCCACTTTTACAGGAGCAGGTTTAGCCAACAACTTTGCTGATCTCCTCTTATGCTCTCCCTTGGCTGCCCCCTCGGCTGAGCTGACCCTCCTCTTGGGCACCTTGGCTGCGGACAGGGTGCAGCGACCTGGGTGCCTGATGAGGCTGCGGCGCGCCTAGAGCCTTTGTGGAGTTGATCGAATAAACCCTACCACTCCTCCCGCCACCGGAGCTGCTGGAACGCCACTACTTTCTTTTTTAATAACCAGAGGGCGTGTGTGCTTGTGAAAGTGGGAGAGAGTATTACCCAGTGGAGCATGGTCACAACACAATTCCTTTCCTCTATTTCTCTATCTCAACAGGACTTGAGGCATGCACACACATGAATCTGGCATGTTGTTCAAACTGCTGGAGATAGACTTTGTAGGATATTGTTCCCTAAAATCAGCCCTTAATCACTGTACCATGCTTGCTGGGACTTGTTAGGCTGAAGATGTTTTCTGTGTGTTTGTTATTACGTTTATTTCTAATCCACAGTCTTCTCTACTCAGAAGAACGTGTTTAGCCGAGTAGGTCCTGACAAGTATAGCCTGGCCCATCAGGAGGCTGCTGTTCTAGCTGCCTCTCTGCTTTTGTGGGGATGAAGACCCTGGGAGTGCTTGCAGCACCTGTTTCAAGCCACCATTTCTCCTCTGTGGTCTAGAAAGGCTTGAATATGTCTAAATTATTTTTTTCCCCAGAGCTGGTATCTTAAGATCCAAACTGTGGAACATTTTACTGTAAGGACACTACCTGTGATTTCTAAACCCTACTCTTGAGAAGATTGCCGTTGGGGATTCACTTCCCAATTAGACAACAAGCCTGGGGGAGGGTGGGTCAGGTAGTTCATACCTGAGTGTGCCCCAACTCTTCTTACCAACTGGAGGCAATATTTTCTCAACTGTCTGGGGGGAAGAAGACTCTCAACTAGTCTATGACTTTCTCTCAGTAAGGGATAGACCCACAAATAGATGTTTATTCACTGGATCCATGGGAGGAGGGAGTGTCAGGAGCTTTTATTTGGCCTTGGTGCTGATATGTCCACCTTTCCCTGTTTCTTCCCTCTGTGAAAAGGCCTCCTTGACCCATTCCCTGAGCTATGTGATTCTACACTGGTGCCTTGAATTCACCAATATTTTCCTTCAAGTTCCTTCAAAGTCAAATCAACATCCAAAGCTTTGACTTTCTCAGCTCAGAAGTCTGTCCTCATCATTTTGCAATCTATCCTGGCTCTCATTTATTGTCAGATTCCTAGGGATTTTTCTGGAAGGGTGCTGGTGGGAGTTCTTTTCTTACCTCAGTGCCCACTCTGGAGGGTCAACCCAGTAATTCATTCATCACTGTGGTCTTAGCACCTGGAACAGTGTGTTTAACCTACTTAACATGATGGGAATTATGACAGGTGTTTAAACTATTTGCTGAGGATTAAATGTATGTGTGAAGAACAAATGGTCACCTTGAATACCAACCCCAAATAGAGCCTAGCCTCCTCCATCAGATGACGTCTCCTCTATCTTACTCTCTTTTCATACCCAGCAAAAATTCCTGTCTCTAAGGGGCACAGAATTCCCCCCAATTCTCCCCGCTGGCTACTCTTGATCCCTCATGCTTCAGTTCTGCCCTCTGATAAAGCTAGCTCAGAATTACCCATGCAATGGAACCACTCTAAACTCAGCCTCTATACCTTCTACCAGTTTGCAGCACATGCTTCCTGGAGGCAGGTGCTATACATTCAAGGATCTTAATTTTGCCCATAAAGGAACCTCCAGAGAGGCAGTGACCACCAGAAACCAGCTTTGGGACTCAACCCGAGAAGCTGAATTGTCACAGGTTATGCCTGCTCTGTTACCTTTGGACTCCCTCTATCTGAAGATGTACCAGGAACTTCGCCAGAGTATTCCTGGCACACTGTCCCACCCTACCCACAGAAAAATAATGACAGAGCAGCCAGCCTTTTAAGAGGGACAGCAGAATGAAGAGCAGATAAAGTGAGGACCATGGTGCTCTCAGCTTTACCGCTCCTCAGCATCCTCATTGGCCTCTTGTTATTCTGGTTCTGGGGCCACCCCAACTCCCAGAGCCACCTGCCGCCTGGTCCCTGGCCTCTACCCTTCCTGGGGAATATTTTGCAAATAGACCACAAAGGTTTTCTCGAATCCTTCCAGGCAGTAAGATGGAGAGGGGATAAGGGTGGAGAGGTAGGAGTTGATTGGAATGTAAAGAGCTTGTATGTAGGAAGGGAGTTGTAGGTCAGAAGTTGGGTGGGACTTTGCGGACCAGCTTGGAGATTCACCTCTTCCAGTCTTTGTTTGGCCCAACAGACCCATTAGATAAGCTTCTGGAATTCCTATGAGAAGGGAGGGAGAGCGGTAGACTAGAGGGAAAGATTTAGATAGACTTGAGAGTGTGAGCTGTGGTCTTGACAAGGCAGGGGAGGAGAGGAGATTAAGAGTCTGTGAAATTCTTAAAATTCAAAGTTGCGAGGGTTTTTGGAGAAACTGAGAGACAAGGACACATGGGTCAGGGTGCATGAGGAAGACTTGAGTGAAGTCTCACAGTTCAAGTCCCTGTCCTTTTGAGATGGGGATCCAACCAGTGGGACATAGGCGACACTGGAGTGTGTGATCCATGTGTGAGGGCAAGCCTCTTTGTTTGTCTCTCTCACCCGAGAGAGACAGCCAGGAGAGAGAGAAGGAGAAGGAGAAAGCAACACCTCAATGTGTTGTGATCACACCACAATCTCTTCTCCTCTGTTTCTTCATTCTCTTGGAATTTTGGGCAAGCACACACATACCAGGCATGTTTTTCAAGCTGCAGGGGCCAGAATTTGAACTGGTCAGCTATGTGGGATTTGGATGCCTTAGCCAGGCAGCCACTAGGCCAACCCAAAAGACCCATCTCTTGAGTTAGATGATAAAGTCTGGACCCTGCCTCTGTAGCTGCAGGAGAAATACGGGGACATCTTCACAATCTACCTTGGCTCTCGGGCCCATTGTCATTCTGTGTGGATATGAGGCAATGCGAGAAGCCTTGGTGGATCAGGGTGAGGCTTTCTCTGGCCGAGGACTCATCACCATCACTGACTCCATCTTCCAGGGAACTGGTGAGTGGACATGCGGCAGAAACTGGGGAGTGGAGAAGGGACATCCTATGTGTTTTCCTGAACTTCCCTGCATGCTTCAACACTCAGGTGTGTTCTTCACCAGTGGAAAGTCTTGGAAAGTCCTTTGGCAATTCTGCATGACCACCATGAAGGATTTCGGGATGGGGAAGCATAGCATTGAGGAAAGGATCAAGGAGGAAGTGCAGTGTTTGGTGAAGGAGCTGCAGAAGTATCAGGGTGAGCCCCATGGGCCAGGGGAGGGGATTGGCAAGTCTGAAACAGAGAGAGAGCATGGGTGACAGAGACCCAGATATGGGGACAGAGGGATTAGAGACAGGTTCAGGGGGAGAGAGGAGAGGAAGAATGAAGAGAAAGAGAAAAGGGGAGATAGATGGAGAGAGAGAGACAGGATGGGAAAGAAAGAGGCAGAGAAAGACAAAAATATATCAATGATGGAAAGAAGGGGAAGGGCCAGTTGGTGTCATAGAGGTTAAGGAACTGGATCCCACATGGCCAGCTTTGTGATTTAAGTCCCGAACCCAGCGTCTTAAGAATCATGCTGGGTGCATGTACATATGGAGCATGTCCATTCCCTCAGGGGTATGTGTGGGTTCTCTCTCTCTCTCTCTCTCTCTCTCTCTCACAAGCACACATTCCATATAGGGGAAAAAAGAAAGAAAGAAGAAAAAGAAGCGAGCTCCATGGCCTGGTGGTTAACGTAATTGGATTCTACTTGGTCCACCATACAGTTCAAGTCCAGATTCTGGGACTTCAGAAACGTGCTAAACACATACACATCATTGGCCAGAATCCTAAATGAGGGAGAAATGGAGGAAAAAGGATTATAACATGACCATATCTCAATGGGGGTAGTTTCTCCCTTTTCTTCTCTCTGTGTCTCTGTCTCTCTCTGGCAAGTGTACGTGCCCTCTAGCGAGAAAGAAAAAGTGACAGAAAGAAAAAACAAGGCTGAGCAAGCCAACAAAGATAGATCTAGAAAGAAGCTTCAAGGAAAAAACTTAGAAGAAAAAGGCGAAAGTAGAAATAAGGTCAGGGGAGATTCAAAGTGAGACTGAGGTAAGGTAGGAGGATATGAAGACAGATGGGGGCATTAAAAGAGAGCAAACTGTGAAGACAGAACTAGGTCTCAAAGAGAGTCAGATACCACAGAGAGATACAAATGCGTGAAATAAGGCAGACCGAGTCAGAGACCTGTAACAACAAAGACCCAGGGATGGAGATGCACAGGAAGGAAATCTGAGATGCACAGCCCAGTGCCAGAGTAGATGGCTGAGACCAGATAACCAATCACACGAGAGATGATGGCTCCAGCCATGTCAGGGCCGAAGGACAATTCAGGGTATGCCAGGGCTCCCTGACCAACCTCTCATTTCCCAGGGGCCTATCTGGACCCAACTTTCCTCTTTCGGTCCATCTCGGTCAACATTGTCTGCTCTATAATCTTTGGTGAACGCTTCCACTACCTGGACCCCAAATTCTTACAGCTGTTAAATTTACTGAAGGACACCTTCATTATTTTCAGCTCTTTCTACGCCCAGGTGAGGTGAAAGTTTCCACGGGAATAGGTGGGTGGACCCTGGGAAGGGACCAGGTGCTTCCTGTCCTGAACCTGGAAGCAAGAAGGCATCGGGAGGTGTGATTTCTGAGGAGGGCAGTTTATTTCCTTCTCCCCCTGCTTCTGAGGGTAGCAGCACCCACGAGGCTGCTGCAGGCATTGGTGGTGACTTTGTGTAAATTAGAAGACATGCCACCCTCTCAAGATGAGCACTGTAAATCAGCTCCTGTTGCACAACCCAGCTTTCCAAGGTCATGACTCCGGTTGGGGTAGGAATCAGTTCTTCGGAAAGGGTGGAAGGTGAGAGAGGAAACCTCAGCAGAAGTAAAGAGTGCTTGGGGCAGGGTGCAGCTGTGCATGCACACGTGTGTGTGTGTGTGTGCACGCGCACATACTAGGTGGCATGTTCCCCACGTCTACAAGGTGCCCTTTAGCTGCTGTTGTGTGGGGGCAGTACACAACCTCGAGTCCTCAGTGAAGGTCCTGGGTCCCTGGTATCAGCCCAGAGAGGGGAAAACAGGTTCTAGGCTTTCCCTCCTTCCCTCTAGGTGTTTGAACTCCTCTCTGGCATCTTGAAACACTTCCCTGGCCCTCAAATTCGGATGTACAGCAACATTCAAGAGATGAAAGCCTTGATTGCTGAGAGCATAGAGAGGCATCAGGAAACTCTGGACCCCAGCGCACCCCAGGACTTCATCGATGCCTTTCTGATCTGCATGGACAAGGCAAGGGCCAGGCTGGACTGGGGTTGTGTAGGAAAGAAAGCAATGGACATGGTACAGACACACTGAGCTAGGATGCTGGGATGCAGATGTGGTGTGTATTATTTAACAATCGAATATTGAACTTCCTATGAATTGATAAGAAACCCACGCCCACCATCAGGTCCCTCTCTATTCCTTCTTCAGGCCCTGACAGGTGCCTACCAAGGAATTAACATCTAATCTGGGAGTCCCTTCTTCTCAACCTGATTGGTCAGAGGCTCCCATCTTATATGACTAGTCTGGCTTCCACCATATCAGTCATTAAATACCTTCAATATCACCTGTTTGGACAGGTGCAAGGGTCATTTAAGAGACCAAAGCATCTAAGAGCAAAGACGATAATAATAACAAAAAGTATTAGTTACTGATGTTTATTGCTCACTTAGAAACATAATATTGAAACAATCCTAGATGATAAACTAAGGCACAGAGAGGTTAAGTTCCTGGTCCCAAATCACACAGCTAAGAAATGGTAGGTAGGGGGATCAGCAGTTAGCTTAATGGCTATGTCGCTGGACTCCCATGTAGTCAACCACGGTTCTAGTCCCGGACCCGGTGGCTTGAACTCACGGCGGGCGCGTGTGCGTGCGTGCCCAAGATCCTATGAGGAGAATGGAGGACAAGCGGTGTGGCCATCCCCCCTGGGGGGCAATTTCTCTCTTTCTGTCTCTCTGTCTCTGTCTGTCTGGCGAGCGCATGCGCCCTATAGCAAAAACCTCTCCAAAAAAAAAAAAGGAAAGAAAGAAAAGAAATAGTAGATAGGACCTGAGTTTGGACCTAGTTTGGCTTCAGAGCTCACCCTTTTGCTATTCTGTTGGCTTTGAAGTTAAGAAAAATAAAATAAGGAAAAGGAGAAAATGGTAAAGAGTGACATGGGAATGGGCAGGTAGAAAATAAGGCTCAAAAACTAAAAATCATTGCAAGGGGAGACTTTAAGACTTTTTAATCGATTTTTTGGAATGCCTGGTTCCTGAGAGTGAGTTCAACTCTACGAATTTCATTAATACTGTGCTCTCGCTGTTCAGTGGCACCGATACCACCAGCACCACCCTCCTGTATGGGCTTCTACTCCTTCTTAAGAATCCTGATATCTTAGGTGAGCTAGTATTATGGTGGGCAGGGGATAGGGAAAGTCAACTGTTTTTATGTCTATGGTGGAAGGTGGTTTTGTGATGGATATAGACAGACAACTCCTGATTTGGAATGGAAAAAAAAAAATAAAAATCAGGGCCAGCAGATAGCATAGCAGTTACATTACTGAATTCCCAGGTGGTTGACAGTGGTGTGAGTCCTAGACCTGCTAGTTTGAAAAATCACACTGGGATTGTGTGAATGCATGCCCAAGATCCTGGAAGGAGAATGAAGGAGAAGGGATTGTGGTGTGGCCCTTCCCCCAGGGGTGATTTCTCACTTTCCAGCTGTCTCTGTTTCTCTGATGAGCACACACACCTGAAGGCAAAAAATTTCTCTGATGAGCCCACACACCTGAAGGCAAAAAACTCCAAAAAAAAAAAAAAAATTAAATTCACCCACACAGAAATGTATAACTTACAATAAATCTTAACCATTAACAAAGGATTTTGAATTTGAGAGGCAGTTCTCAAAGTAGTTTTTATTCAGAGAAACATCTGGTACTTTAGAAGGAATTTTTGTGTTTATGACTTGTTTTGCAATTTGCAAAACACTTAGGCATCACAAGATGCTCTATGACTTACAAAGCATGGCCTAGTCACAAAGTCTTTTTGTTTTTGAAACATTCTATCATCTACAAAGGGTATGCCTCTTTCTTTTACAGGTTATTGATTTAATTTTATTAATTATTATTATTAAATTTGCTCTAAGGCCCGGGCATCACCAGAGAGAGAGAGAAAAATGTAAAGTTATAAAGAAAGCTGCCAGGTCCAGGACTCGGACCATGGTCAGAAGTATGGGTGTCCACACCTTAACCAGCATGACACCTGCTGGCCTTGAGGTGTGAGCTTCTTAACAGAAAACTTTGAGGTTAACAGAAAACTTGAGTATATGGAGCTTATTGGCAATTGACCACTAATTGAAAAGTGCCCTCTATTGATTCTCCTACTGATGATTGGATGACCTGAGGTTGAACTTGGAGGAACTCTCACTTAATCAAACCTATTTTATAAGTAACAAATTTAAGACCCAGTGGTAAAGTGACTTGTCCAAGAACACATAACAAGTCAGTATGAGAAAGGGATATGACATCAGTTTCAGCTGGAGCTAACTGTAGTTAAAAAAAAGAGGGTGGGGGGAGAAGGGTGCCCTTAAATATTGAATGAATTTCCACCAACCCATCTTTATACAGGCGAACCCATCTCATAACTGGAATGGAAACAACAGGTAATATTTTCCTATAAAGAAACCATTGTTGTTCCGTTCTTGTGCTTTCACTGACGAGGAGCAATTATATATATATATATATATGGATTTCATGCATTTATTTGCACCCATATAAGTTCACACTTTAATTTAATCTTTCTACAGACTTTTTTTTTAAAGAGATTTTTTTCTATAGGGCATGTACACTTGCCAGAGTGACAGAGAGACAGAATGCAATAAATCACCACCCTTGTGAGATGGCCATGATACAATCCCTTCTCCTCCATTCTCCCCTTGAGATTTTGGGAACACATGCACACGTACCCACACTAGGCTTTAGTTTTAAGCCACTGGTCTGGGACTTGAACTGTAGTAGACCACATGGGAGTCCAGTGATGTAACCATTATGCCATCTGCTGGTCCCACCACAAACATTTTGAAGGACCCTTGTAAAGCATTCATGAGACTCTTCTATCTGTGGTCACTCTCTGGGTGTCTTTGCAGAGCCCATTGCTATCAGTATTCTTTAATGGTTACATCCTCCATCCTCACTATCCTTAGAAAAAGTCCAGATGGAGATTAACAAAGTGATTGGCCCACACCGTCCTCCAGCCCTTGAAGACCGGGCAAAAATGCCTTATACAAGTGCTGTCATCCATGAGATTCAGAGATACAGTGACCTCACACCCATTGGACTCCCTCACTGTGTCATCAGGGACACCCACTTCCGAGGATATCATCTGCCTAAGGTGAGACTAGCAGAGCCACAGGATATTAGAAGGAGGCTGCGGGCTGCTCATTATCTTGTGATGGTTCATGTCTCTTATTATTTCCAGATTTCTGTGTGGGGAGGAATATTTTGGAAACAAAGGCAATTCTTTTCCCTTCTGTCATTTTTTTTTCCACAAATTATTAGATGTTAGGTATTCTTTTGTTGAATAAAGTCTGATATACTTAATTAAAACTTGAAATAAACAGACCTCTTTGGTTCAAAACTCTTTCTTCATATCCTCTATCTTCTTCCTTCATGAAAAGGTATTTGATGTTTCTGCTGCTTTTTTTAATCATATGCCACATGTATGTACAAAGGCCTGTTCATACAGTAGTTATCATTTTGCAAATTGTGTGTGCAGTATGGCATATCTCCTTCCATGCCTGTCTTTATGTTCAAACCAACACACTTTGCAAATTATTTTCCAATTTTGTGTGTCTATATGGCTTTCCTTTGAGAAGTTACCAGCTTCAGACATATATTCAGGTCAAAGTCTTGGGTTCTAACTCATCCTCTCTCCAATGGTTGCATATGTTCTTGAATATGGAAATACCGAAGGATGATGTCCACAATGTCTAATCACCCAGCGGGCATCAACTCATCATATTAAATGCTGGCCCTAGTTCTGGACCCTTGAATGCCTCTGCTGAGCCACAAGTGAATCTTTAATTGATAACATCATAGAGAAGCTCAAAGGATCTTAGGGAAGAGGGGTTGATGTGATTATTGTGGACATTCAGAGGGCTTGGGACACAACTATTAATGAAACAAAGCAGCATTATTTTAGTATGTTAGTTATTACTTATGGAGTGAGGAAAGCCATTATCAACTGCAGGTGTATCATAACTGATTCATCCACTCCTTGATAATGGCCACTGAGTCCTCCTGACTTTGGTGCCCTGTTAGGAGACTACTGTGTACCCCATCATGAGCTCTGTTTTCCATGACCCGTGCCATTTTGAAAAGCTGGATACCTTCTTCCCTGGCCACTTCCTAGATGCAGAGAGCAACTTCAAGAAGCAAGAAGACTTTATCCCATTCTCCATGGGTAAGTTGGTGCCCTTCCCCATCCCATGAGAATGCCTGTCCATCCCCACCTCTATGTGACTTTATCCTTTTCTCCATTCCAGCATGGGGTGAAAATTTTTGAAAAAGATGATAAATCTATAAGAAAGAGAAAGCAAGATACCTACAAAGACAAAAACAGAGGGCAAAAAGAGGAAGAATGATAAGGAAGATGGGAACTAAATCAGTGAAAAAAAAATTATGTTAGGCAAGCTTACGTAATTCCTATCTTTAAGAACATTTTTCAGTTTTCTTTATAAATCTTAATGCTGGCTATAGTTTTTCCAGTTATTTCATAAGTATCCCAGCACATATTTTTCTCAATTTTAAATGAAATTAAGGAACCCCCTCATCTTTTTACTATATTTTACTCCTGAATGAGACTGTGCATACATAAGGACGGGTGGGGGGGGGATAGCATCTCTGCACACCTTTTCCCTTAAAATTCACCCTTGACAGGGTGTTGGCAGACTGCAGTCTCCTTCCTTCATCCCTCCAGCCCAGGATCTTGGGCTTGTGCATGTCTAGTGTGTTTCCAGGTCAACTGAAGATCTGAACCCATGGTGGCCATGTCGTTTCTGGTATGACAGTTCAGTAAACTACAGTAAATGCTTCTCTACTCCAATTTTACAAGGTTCTTATTTTTACATTTTTATACAGAATTTGGTATAGAGCTATTACATTTTTAGCTCCTGTAAAAATGAAGGAATATTTTTTTCTTCTTGACTTGTTAAAAAAATATATAAATATCTTAGTGCTGAATTATGCATTCCCTCTTAATGCTCTAATATGAGAGGCCTAGAGATGGCAACAGGCTTGCCCAATGCCCATTAAGAAGTTGTGGCCTATATTAGTCAGATCAGGCTAGGCTGTGAAAAATGACCTGAACATTTCAAAGTCAGAAAGTTGATTTCACGTTCATGCAACATGGCCATCTCAGGTCCTCGGGGGTCTGTACTCATCACACTCATGTAGAGAATAGGTCTCTCCTGACATGCAGAGACAGGAGAATGGTATGACATACACAAATTATCCTTCTTTTAGTTTTCCCAAAGCAAGTCTCATTCAAGTTCAACATGACATAGATATTTAATGTACCCTGAGGTGTGCCATGAATGTTTTGTGAATGATGGTATAGCTTACCACACCTTGAGAGATAATTCTCTGGGCTCCCTCTCTTTTCTATTGAAACTGCAGCTAACAGGAGACAGTCCAAATTGTGGTCCACCTCAGGGACAGCTTTGCTTCCCATTCTTAGTTATACTACATGGACACAACAAGCCTATGCTGAAGGCAACATTAGAAACTAAAGGATTAAATTATATGGGACGGGACCAGGAGATGGCATATTGGTTATGTAACTGGACTCTCACTTGGCTTACCATGGTTCAAGTTGCAGAGTTGGCAGGTGGAATCTCATGCCAGGCACGTGTGCAAGCATGCCCAAAATCCCAAGAGAGGCTGGAGAAGAAAGGATTGAAATGTGACCATGCGTCATGGAGGGCTATTTTTTGCTTTCTGTCTTTCTGTGTCTCTGGTGAGTGCACACACCCTGTAGAAAAAAATCTTAAAACTATGCATGCTGGTCATGTGCTTGCACACTCACCATCCAGACTGACTGAAACTGGGGGTGGATCATAGTATGGGGACTGTTGGGGGTGCCTGTCTCTCTGTATCTCTCTCTATCATAGAAGACGCAATCAAATAAACTTAAAAAAAGAGAGAGTGAATCAGTGATATGAGAGGCAGAATTTTAAGGGCAAAGGTGTGCAGAGATGCTATCCGAAAAAACAATTACAATGTGGCCGTTGACCAGAAAGGATTGCCTTTGTCCATGGTGCTAGGAAGCTTATGGGGTTAGTTTCAATTGTGAGCAGGGCCTTGGGACCTGGAAGAGGGGCTATCGTGGCCAGACCAGGGTTGCTCAGAAGCCTAGAGCAGTAGCTGTATGCCCACTCCTTCAGAAATAATTTAATATTCTCACAGACAGTACAGGCATAGTGCCTAACCACTATGTATCAATCTAGGTGGGGGTACAGAGGTCTGAGCTCCCTTGTCCCTTTCTCTCATTGCTCCACATAGTCAGGGAATGTTAGTAAGGACTCTTACGATGTTTTCCATTTTCTCAGAAACTGACTTAGCTGGGGACCAACAGGTGGTATCGTGGTTAATGCACTGAATCCCTCATAGCCCACTGTGAGTTGAAAGGACTAGTTCAGCTCTCAGCTCTGTGCTGTGTGACTCCCAAATATCTCTGGCCAAGTGGTTTGAGTCTAAAATCCAACAGCTTGAAACTCATGGTGGGCGCGTGTGCACATGCATCCAAAATCCTGGGAGGAAGAGGAGAAGAGATTGTAGCCTGGTTACACCCCAAGGAGATGATTTCTAATTTCCCTCTCACTGTTTCTTTGGTTTTTTTTTTTTCTTTTCTTTTTTTCCCAAATAATTATTTTATTTCACCTTATTTATTTAGTTATTTTAATTTGAAGAGAAACAGAGGGAGGGAGTGACAGAGAGAGAGAAAGAGAGAGAGGGAGAAAGCAAGCCACGAAGCGCAGTCAGCCATGTCGGAGTCCAGCTTCCTTAACCACCATGCCACCTGCCAGCCCCTCTTTTAGTTTTTTTCATGTGAGTACACGTGCCCTATGGCAAAATCCTAAAGAAAATAAATTAATAAACAGAACTAATTGTTAAAAACAAACAAATAAACAAATGGGCTTAGCAGATAGTATACTGAACCAGACGAATACAGAGAAAGATAGAAAATGTGAGAGAGGGAAAAACAGGGACCAAGAGGGAAATAGGAGAGTATGAAAAAGGCTGAAATGAAAATGGACAGACAGGGACACACACAAATTCATGCTGTTTGCATGGAGGACAAGAATATGAACAAACAGATGTCCCTCATATGTAAATCTGTTTAAAGTTTGTTAATTAATTTACATTCATTGACTGAGCATTGTTATAGCATACAAAATGTGATTTCTCATCTAGAATATACTGCATAGTGGCTTAATCATACCTGTTATCATCAATCATTTTCCATTTCTAGTTTTATATATACATATTTTTTCACCCTTACTTTTCACCCTCACCCTCATCCCTCACTATCTCAGGTGTCCACAGATGTTTTCCACTCTTCTCTTTCCTCACATTTTATTTTTTTATTTTTATTTATTTTTATTTTTACTGCATTTTTTTATTTCAAGAAAAACATTTTTCATGTTTTTCTTTTCCCTGAAACTTGTTTTTTCTTTTGTAATGAAGATTTATTGGTTGTGTCAAGGGTCAGTACAGACATTTCAATTCTTAACATACATACCAAAAGTTTAAAAAGCCAAGTATAGTGATTCTTTTTAAGCTATTCCAATGACAGTCCAGCTTCAAATTTGTAGGCAAATTTTCAAGAACCACTGTCTTCAAATACTGAAAGCTGTTATATAAGTCCCACCAAATCACAAGTTAGTATCATACACACTGCATACTTCAAATTTCCAATCTTTCATAGCAGATTAACAAAATTATTACTAAAACTGTACTACCATGACCAAAGATGTTACAGAGTGCACACAATTCTGACAGGGAGAGCAACAACCCGAGTGGTTTTCTTTATGAAACAATACTACTAAAAAACATAATGGAAGTAATTTAAAATATTTGAGATACATTAAATGCATGACTGTGACTCCAAACTGCCATTTAGTATGCTTTGTATTTAGGATATAAAAACTACCCACCCACCCCCACCTATGGAATGTTAAGATGACAGGCAAGAGAGTCAAAGCCTCCTATAAGTCAATATCCCACTATTTTCTGATTGTGCTAAAAATAAACAAGCAGTAAATGATTTCACCTCATAAAAAAAGCATTTACACTTAAAAAAATGGGACGA